AAAAGAAAAGAAAAGTAAAAAGAAAAAAATTGCTAAAGAAATTGAAGAAGAAACAATTGATTTTGAGGAGCATTCAAACATAGAACCTCATGCAACATTTTATCAAATGAATTTATCACGTCCTTTATTAAAGGTGTAATATCAATTTATTAAGTATAAACTCAAAATTTTATATTATGTATATTAAATTATAATACATGTTTCTTACAGGCTATAACAGCTATGAACTTTGTGCATCCAACACCTATTCAAACTGCTACCATTCCTGTTGCATTAATGGGTCGTGATATATGTGGTTGTGCTGCTACAGGTACTGGTAAAACTGCAGCATATATGTTACCAACTCTAGAAAGATTATTATATAGACCATTAAGTGGTCCTGCTATTTCTCGTGTTCTTATACTTGTACCAACAAGAGAACTTGGTGTGCAAGTATATCAAGTTGCAAAACAGCTATCTCAATTTACAACAATTGAAGTAGGATTATCTGTTGGTGGTTTAGATGTGAAAATTCAAGTATGTAATTATATTATAACATAAACTACTATCACATACATATAACATAAATAAATACTTTTTATTACATTTATTATTATTTATTTTAAATTAGGAAGCTGTATTAAGAAAAAGCCCAGACATTGTAATAGCTACACCTGGAAGATTAATTGATCATTTAAAAAACACACCATCATTCTCACTAGATAGTATTGAAGTACTTATTTTAGATGAAGCAGACAGGTAAATTAAGAGAAAACATTTAATTTACGTTTTCCTTATATTGTAATAAAACAATTGTTATGCATTTCATTTAAGGATGTTAGATGAATACTTTGCAGAGCAAATGAAATATATAGTACAACAATGCTCAAGAAGCAGACAAACAATTTTATTTTCAGCTACTATGACTGAGGAAGTAAAAGATTTGGCTGCTGTCTCGTTAGATAAGCCCATTAAAGTATTTGTAGATAGCAATCAAGATGTTGCCTTTAATTTACGCCAAGAATTTATCCGGTAAATCGTAAAACTATATCATATACAAATAATTGTTTGTTTTCATATTTATTTAATGCATTTATATGTTGTATATTTTTGAATATATAGGATACGAAAAGAAAGGGAAGGGGATCGGGAAGCAATATTGGCTGCTTTAATTTGTAGGACGTTTCACGATCATGCAATGGTGTTTGTACAAACAAAAAGACAAGCTCATAGACTTCATATTTTATTAGGATTATTAAATATCAAAGTATTTAAAATATAATTTACTTTTATACATTAAGAAAATTTAAAAACGAAGAAATAGATATTTTATTAGCAACAGATGTTGCTGCAAGAGGTTTAGATATTAGCGGCGTAAAAACTGTAATTAATTTTGTAATGCCAGCCACTATGCAACATTACATTCATAGGTATTAATATTTAATTTGCTTACGTATTTTTGTGTTATGAAAAATGATAACTATTTTATGATTTATTTATCAGAGTTGGAAGAACAGCTAGGGCTGGTCGTGTTGGAGTGTCAGTATCTTTAGCTGGAGAACAGGAGCGTTCGCTAGTTAAGGAAATTATTAAAAATGCAAAAAATCCAGTAAAAAATCGAATAATACTACCTGATATAATTGAAAAATATAATAAAAAATTACAACTTCTTGAACCTGATGTGGAACAAATTTTGAAAGAGGAAAAACAAGAAAGAGAATTAGCCAAAATAGAAAATCAAACAAATCGGGTAGAGAATTTATTGAAGAATGAAAATAATAAAGACATTCAAAGAACATGGTTCCAGACTCATAAAGAAAGGAAAGAAGAGAAAGGTTTGATTTCATTTTTTTTTTCTGAACTTAATCTGTAAAATTTGTCTGGATTAGTTCTGTACAATTTCACGCGTTGTATGTACATTATCAAAGTAATTCATATTATCATTTTTAGAGAAATTATCATTGAATGAAAAACCAAAAACGAATAAGGAGAAGAAAAAACAGAACAAAGAACATCCAAATATAGTTGAAGAAAAGAAAAATAAATTTAAACAAGTTAAAAAAGAAACAGCAGAAGATAGGGCCAACAGAGAATTAGAAAAAATTGGGGCATATCAAGCGAGACTAGCGAAAAAGAAGAATAAACAACAGAAAATTCGAACAATAGCAGAAAACAATCAATCTATAACTAACGGAAGAGGTATTTTGTAATACATTATATTTAATTTAAAAATAGTAACTTTGTCTTCTTTTAAATAATACTGATTATATTTTAGCATCGCTAAAACGGTCAAAATCTTCATTTGCTGCCGATTTAACAGATACAAGTAAAAAATCAGTGAAAAGAATGCGTTACGAGTAAGTATATTTTATTATAACAAGGTAAAATAAAGTATTGCATATTACTTCTATAAACAATTATTTTATCTGTTTTAGAGCAAATGTTAAAAAAAATCAAAGTAAGAGAAAAGGGACAAGCAGTTTTAGCACAGGAAAGAAAGATAATAGGAAAGCTTTTAAAAAACGTTAAACCAAACTTTTATATCTGTAATTAAATCTTATTAAATACATACCACTTTACTTAATTTGTTTTATTATAGAACCGTTACAATGCGTCACTTATGTCTCACAGATTGACAGATGAATAGCACTAATTAATTGGTTTTTTTCATCAGAATATGTATACTTCGTAGTCTATAACCTGTTTGAAAAAATTGCAGTACTATGCAATTAAATGCTTGTGAAAACATAGATATTTGTTAATAATGCTACAAAATACAATGTGATATATTTCAAAGAAATTTGAATCTATGTTACTTCAGGAAATGTTAAATGAAATTTTATAAAGCTGAAATAGTGACAATGTACTGCTAATGGCTTATAAACAATGCTTCGTACATGAAAAATAAAGAACGATATTTATGAGCGTTTAAACAAAATTAAAAACTGCAAAATTTGCATTGTACTGTAATTTCAGTGAAGAGGTAATAGGTATGTGTTAATTCTATATTGTTTATATAAGATCAAACATTCATCGCCATTCACAGCCTCATACACAATTCTCATTCTCATCTTAAAGTTTATTACAGTTTAATGCTTAATTCTAAAAATTCTACCGTTGAAAAAGGAAATTTTATAAAACCTAGGCCCATTTTAAAATATTCGAATTCTATTCAAATTTGTACCCAATGTCTTTCCTGAAGTTTTTGATAATGAATACAAATTTTTATTTTTAATCATAAGAATCAAAAA